GAAGTACAGATCTGTGATTCAACAGTCTTACACAATTCACAGCGCTCACCGTAGCACATATCTTCTCCAATGTCCATCACCCAGCCACCCCATCCCTCCCACCCCCAACCACTCCAGCAACCCTCAGTTTGTTCCTGAGATTAAGAATTCCTCATATCAGTGAGGTCATATGATACATGTCTTTCTCTGATTGCCTTATTTCACTCAGCATAACACCCTCCAGTTCCATCCACGTCCTTGCAAATGGCAAGATCTCATTCCTTTTGATGGCTGCATAATATGCCATTGTGTATATATACCACATCTTCTTTATCCATTCATCCGTCGATGGACATCTTGGCTCTTTCCACAGTTTGGCTATTGTGGACATTGCTGCTATAAACATTGGGGTGCACGTACCCCTTCGGGTCCCTACATTTGTATCTTTGGGGTAAATACCCAGTAGTGCAATTGCTGGATAGAACGGTAGCTCTAATTTCAACTGTTTGAGGAACCTCCATACTGTTTTCCAGAGGGGTTGCACGAGCTTGCATTCCCACCAACAGTGTAGGAGGGTTTCCCTTTCTCCACATCCCTGCCAACATCTGTCGTTCCCTGACTTGTTAATTTTAGCCATTCTGACGGGTGTGAGGTGGTATCTCATTGAGGTTTTGATTTGGATTTCCCTGATGCCGAGCGATGTTGAGCACTTTTTCATGTGCCTGTTGGCCATTTGGATGTCTTCTTTGGAAAAATGTCTGTTCATGTCTTCTGCCCATTTCTTGATTGGATCATTTGTTCTTTGGGTGTTGAGTTTGATAAGTTCTTTATAGATTTTGGATACTAGCCCTTTATCTGATCTGTCATTTGCAAATATTTTCTCTCATTCTGTCGGTTGTCTTTTGGTTTTGTGGACTGTTTCTTTTGCTGTGCAAAAGCTTTTTATCTTGATGAAATTCCAATAGTTCATTTTTGCCCTGGCTTCCTGTGCCTTTGGTGATGTTTCTAGGAAGAAGTTGCTGCGGCTGAGGTCGAAGAGGTTGCTACCTGTGTTCTCCTTTAGGATTTGGATGGACTCCTGTCTCACGTTTAGGTCTTTCAACCATTTGGAGTCTATTTTTGTGTGTGGTGTAAGGAAATAGTCCAGTTTCATTCTTCTGCATGTGGCTGTCCAATTTTCCCAACACCATTTGTTGAAGAGACTGTCTTTTTTCCACTGGACATTCTTTCCTGCTTTGTCAAAGATAAGTTGGCCATAGAGTTGAGGGTCCATTTCTGGGCTCTCGATTCTGTTCCATTGATCTATGTGTCTGTTTTTTTGCCAGTAGCATACTGTCTTGATGATGACAGCTTTGTAATAGAGCTGGAAGTCCGGAATTGTGATGCTGCCAGCTTTGCTTTTCTTTTTCAATATTCCTCTGGCTATTCGGGGTCTCTTCTGGTTCCATACAAATTTTAGGATTATTTATTCCATTTCTTTGAAAAAAGTGGATGGTATTTTGATGGGGATTGCATTGAATGTGTAGATTGCTCTAGGTAGCATTGACATCTTCACAATGTTGGTTCTTCCAATCCATGAGCATGGAACGTTTTTCCATTTCTTTGTGTCTTCTTCAATTTCTTTCCTGAGTATTTTATAGTTTTCTGAGTACAGATCCTTTGCCTCTTTGGTTAAATTTATTCCTAGGTATCTTATGGTTTTGGGTGCAATTGTGAATGGGATCGACTCCTTGATTTGTCTCTCTTCTGTCTTGTTGTTGGTGTATAGGAATGCCACTGATTTCTGTGCATTGATTTTATAGCCTGCTACTTGACTGAATTCCTGTATGAGTTCTAGCAGTTTTGGGGTGGAGTCTTTTGGGTTTTCCACATACAGTATCATATCATCTGCAAAGAGTGAGAGTTTGACTTCCTCTTTGCCGATTTGGATGCCTTTGATTTCTTTTTGTTGTCTGATTGCTGTGGCTAGGACTTCTACTACTATGTTGAATAGCAGTGGTGAGAGTGGACATCCCTGCCGCGTTCCTGACCTTAGGGGTAAAGCTCTCAGCCCTTCCCCATTGAGAATGATATTCGCTGTAGGTTTTTCGTAGATGGCTTTTATGATATTGAGGTATGTACCCTCTATCCCTATACTCTGAAGAGTTTTGATCAAGAAAGGATGCTGTACTTTGTCAAATGCTTTTTCTGCATCTATTGAGAGGATCATATGATTCTTGTTCTTTCTTTTGTTAATGTATTGTATCACGTTGATTGATTTGCGGATGTTGAACCAGCCTTGCAGCCCAGGGATAAATCCCACTTGGTCGTGGTGAATAATCCTTTTAATGTACTGTTGGATCCTATTGGCTAGTATTTTGGTGAGAATTTTTGCATCCATGTTCATCAAGGATATTGGTCTGTAATTCTCCTTTTTGATGGGATCTTTGTCTGGTTTTGGGATTAAGGTAATGGTGGCCTCATAAAATGAATTTGGAAGTTTTCCTTCCATTTCTATTTTTTGGAACAGTTTCAGGAGAATAGGTATTAATTCTTCTTTAAATGTCTAATAGAATTCCCCTGGGAAGCCATCTGGCCCTGGGTGAATTATACTTTTTAAAAAACTTTCTTTAGTGGTTAATCTTTTTTGCCATATGCATTTACAATTAATGCATGTGTACTTTCAAATAACATAATGCTGTGGCACAGGAACCTTATAACAATATTTTCAATTTCTCCCTTCAGTCCCATATAATATTGATGTCATTCACCTTACTTTTTAATAATCTATAATTACCAGATACATTGTTACAATTATTATTTTGGACAAACTCTAATCTGTAAGATTAGTTAAAAATAAAAAATGTTGGCGCCTGGGTGGCTCAGTCATTAAGCATCTGCCTTTTGCTCAGGTCATGATCCCAGGGTCCTTGGATTGAGCCCTGCGTTGGGCTCCCTGCTCAGCGGAAAGCCTGCTTCTCCCTCTCCCCTGCTTGTGATCCCTCTCTCGCTGTGTCTCTCTGTCAAATAAATAAATAAAATCTTAAAAAAAAAAGAAAAAATGTGATTTTATTTTACCTTCCTTTATTCCTTCTCTAGTGCTCTTCTTTTGTATATGTTGGTAATGCATTTCTCACTTATATAGTTTTCCCTCTGCTTGAAGAAATTCTTATAATTTTTTTTTTTTACAGATTTTTTTTTTTTTTTTTACAGATGCGGGGCTCGATCCCAGGATTCTGGGATCATGACCTGAGGTGAAGGCAGACACTTAACGACTGAGCCACCCAGGCACCCTTCTTATAACATTTCTTGGGTCGTTATTCTACTGGCAACACATTCCTTCAATTTTTGTTTGTTTGAGAAAATCTTTAATTTTTCTTCCGTTTTTAAAAATAACATCACTGGATACAGAATTCTAAATTTGTGATTTTTCTTTCAATATCTTAAATATCTCACTCTACTTTCTTCTCTTTGCATGGTGTCTTAAGAGAAATTTTATTCTTGCCCCTCTTTAGATAAGGTGTTTCCTCTTGGAGATTTTCTTTCAAGATTTTCTCTGTGTCTTTAACTTTGTGCAGTTTGAATATGATATGCCTACATGTAGATTTTTTTGTATTTATACTGCTGTTGTTCTCTGAGCTTTCTCAATCTTTTGTTTGGTACCTGTCTAATTTTGGAAAATTTTTAGTCATCACTTTAAGTATTCCTTATGTTTCTCCTTTTCTTCTTTTGGCATTCCTAGTATGCATAACTTACACCTTTTAAAATTGCCCAACACTTCTTAAATATTTGACTCTATCTTTTTTATTCTTTTTTCTCTTTGCATTTCAGTTTTTGAAGTTTCTATTAACATATCTTCAAGTTCAGTGATTCTTTCTGTAGCCTTGTTCAGTCTGTTGATAAGCCCATTCAAGGCATTCTTCATTTCTGCTATTGTTTTTGATTTCTAGCATTTCCTTTTGATTATTCACGTTTTCACATATCCACATATATTACTCATGTGTTGTTGTGTATTCTCCTCTTTTTCAATTAAAGCCCTTACTGTAATTTCTGGTGTAATAATTCCACCATCCACTATCTCTGCCTTATCTAAGTTTGGTTTTGATGTTTGTTGTTTATCTTCAAACTGGTTTTTGTTGTTGTTGCCCTTTTGAATGCCTTGTACTATTTTGTTGAAAGCCAGGCATGATGTTCCAGGTAAAAGGAACTGAGATAAATAGACCTTTTGTATAAGGCTTTATGTTTATGTGACTAGGAGTTAAGCTGTGCTTAGTTTGCTGTTAGACTATGCTTGGTTTATTCCAGCTATTGTTTTCAGAAGCCAGAATTTCCTCTGGTATTTTTCTTTCTGTTTTCCCCATTGTCTTTGGATTTCCTTAGAGAGGTATTCTTTTTAAAAAAATATTTATTTATTTGAGAGAGAGAGAGAGAGAAGGAGAGATGAGTGTGGGTTGTGGCAGGAGCAGAGGGAGAGAGAGACTCTCAAGCAGACTCTCCGCTGAGCTTGGATCCTGACGTGGGGCTTGATCTCATGTCCCTGAGATCATGACCTGAGCCGAAAGGAAGGGTCAGATGCTTAACTGAGTGAGCCACCCAAGGGCCCTGAGAGTTATTCTTAAATAACTGATAGTCTGATATTGTCTGCAGTAACAGGTTTCTGCTTCTGGACTTCCGCTCTGGTAAGCTCTGATTCTCCATTTTCAACTGTCTATCCAATATTTGAGGCAACTGTTTGCCCTCTGACTTCAATTCTCTGTTGTTTCCAAGGGGAGTTGTTCATTTTCAACTTGTTCATCATTTATCTTGTGAGGATAGGTGAGATAACTTTCAAGCTTTTTAATTTTTGGACCAGAAACCAGAAGTTTCACATTGATCACTTTTTATTTCTTGATTTATAATTCTATGTCTGTAAAATAAAAGAATTAAGATCATTACTTGATGTTTAAATTCTCCCCTAACTCTAGCATTCTGTTGAGTCCCTAAGCAGTGACTTGCATAAATGATTATGCTGTTATGTGACATTTGCTACTCTTCTTCTACAGGCAGACCTCCAGGTGGACAAGGAGAGGCACAATTTCTTTGAGTCCTCCCTTGATTATGTTTATCAAATCCAGGAAGTTCAGGAGTCCAAGAAGTTCAACATTGTGGAGCCAGTAAGTTCTATCTGTGGATGAATAGTCTAGAAATATTTACCAAATGCCAGGTTAATGTGGATTACTTTGACCATAAAATTGAAATTTCAAAGATGGTGAAGGATATTTAATGTTTAATAATGAATATCAAGAAAATAAACACACTAGCTTGGGTAACTCTTGCTCTCTTACTAGTAATATTTTATCTCTCTTCCTTACCTCCCCTCCCCCACCTTTTTTCCTCTCCCATTTTCTCCCCCCCCAGCTATGATTTTTCTTTCCTTCTCTTTTCTTGCTTCCTTTCTCCTTTTCTCCCTCCTTTGATTTCTCTGTCACTCTTCCTTTTACCTTGTTCCCTTCCCTTCCTTGCTCTCATGCTTTCATAAATCTTCTAAAGTGCCTATCATATGCCAGTCAGTGTTCTAGGAGCTCATGTCCCTTGCACTCAATGACTTCCTTTTGTACTATTTTTACTTCTATCTTCTTTATTTTTTTCTACTTACGTCTCCTTGACTATAAAAGAGGTATGCTTTGATTTGACAACTATGCTGAATTTTAACTCTTGGTGCAGAAAAGCTAGAAAAAAATTATAGGGAAAACAAAACAAAAATCACAAATTCCCCATACAGAGATAGTCACTGTTAATATTTTGGCATTTTCCTTCCAAATTTTCTGTGTATCTATTATATTTCTTTCTCTATTTATGTGTGTCTTTGTACTTGTAGATGTGGGTGTGTGTACACCTGTGTGCAGGTTTGTGTACACATGTATATGTTTTGCACATGAGCATGTATATCTATGTACATGTGTATCTGTCCTCACATTTGTATATATCTGCATATATATGTGTGTGCAGCCAAGTGTTTATTTATTTGTACACAAAATAATTGAGCTTCTGTTATATGTCAGGCACTGTGCTAAACACTGGGTATTCTACAGTGAAGAAGACAGACTCTGTTTCTCTCTTTATGAAGACTACACTCTTATTGGGTAGACAGAAGGGAAAGAAGGATACACATAAATAAAACTAATTGTAAGTTATGATAAGGGCTAAAACAAATAACAAGAATGGGCAGCTACTTTAGATTAAGTGTTCAAAGAGGAACTCTGGAAGTATCACTTAAGTTCTAAAGAAAGAGAGGATGAGGCCACATGAATAATGCGGAAATAATATTAAAACACAGAAAAACACGTGTGCATGGTCCTTAAGTTAGGAAAGAACGTATGCCCGAGGGATGAAAAGATAAGTGCCTTTAGATACAGGCGATAGAAAAGGAACGTGGCAGGAAATAATGTATGATAGGAAGGCATAGGACTTGTAATCACGGTAAAGAGTCTGGATATTAGTCTAAGTGGAGTGGTAAACCACTGATAAGTGTTAAGCTGGATATGACATGAGCTGATTTTGTTGTGTGGAGAATGGCTTGGAAGAGAACAAAAGTGCAAGTAAGGAAACCAAATAGGAGGCTACTATAGCAGTCTAGGCAAGAAAAGATGTTAGTTTGGGTTAGGGTGGTGGAAGTGGCAACAGAAAAGAATGTCTGGATTAGAGATATGTTTTGGTGGAAAAACTGGTAGGATTTGGATTGATATGTGAGTGGAAGAGATATTGAGGATGATTCTTTACTTTCTGGCTTGATTGAGTGGGTGGTAGTGTCATTTCCTGAGATGAGAAAGCTTGGAGGAGAAACAGAAAGATTTTGTATATGACAACGTATGTGGTACACACACCCACCTATACACACACACACACGTGTGTGTGTGTGTATTTACATAGTTGTTATATGTTTATGTATATATACATATATATATATATAGTTTGTGTTTATATTTATAATATATGCATGTGTATATGCATATGGTGTATCTGTGTGCATATTTACATATACCTACCTGCTTATTTTCTAAAATGAGTAGAGCAGTTATTACTACTTCCTATTATTACACTTCACTATTGCCAGAATTGAGCATTATTGTTTAAAGGTTTGTATTTCATAGATTAAATCATATTTCCATTGTTTTTATTTCTGTGTATTTAATTATTAATTAGGTTGAATATTTGCAACATTAAAAAATTTTATTGATCATTTGTATGTCTTATTCTGAAACCCCTCTGAAACATTTCTGATTTGAAAATGGGCTCACACTCTGAATCTTTTAGCATTAGGGCAGTCTTCATTAGGGTACAGAATCTTACTTTACTCATTTATTCACTTATCTATTTATTCAACAAATATCGAGTACCTACTCTGTGCCAATTCTGAGGCTATAGAGAGAAAATACAGTCTATTCCCATCTGGTCCAAATTATGAATGGTTTTATATGCTATCTGGAAAGGATCTGAATGAATACATTTTTAGTAGTTCTTATATTCTGGAAGTAAGTTCATTGTAAATGTTTAATAAAAGAATAGCTATGTGTAGACCTGTTTGTGTTTTCACAATTACTTTTAACACTGTACTCGGTATGTGGAATTTCTTTTCCGTGTTTCTTTTTCCTTTATTTGGTAATGAGAAGGTACTGGTGATAAAGTTATTTTTTACACATTTTCCCTAGGTGTTGGCCTTTCTTCATAGTCTCTTCATTTCCAACAGCTTGACTGTGGAGCTCACACAGGATTTTCTCCCATACAAACAGCAGCTCCAGCTCAGTTTGCAGAATGTGAGTTTGCATGGGGGTTTCTTTACCTGTCCCTACATTCCAATTGTATTTCAGCCCCAATGACCTTGACCTTGAAATCCCAGTTTATTGCATTCTAGCCAATTTGTCAGGACATACTAGTGTGGATCATAAATATTTTAGTGTGCTTGCTCTTCCAGTTTCAACTCTTACCAGTCTTTGAGGCTTATTGTTTTTTTTTGTTTTGTTTTGTTTTTAAGATTTTATTTATTTATTTATTTGAGAGAGAGAGAATGAGAGATAGAGAGCACGAGAGGGAAGAAGGTCAGAGGGAGAAGTGGACTCCCTGCTGAGCAGGGAGCCCGATGTGGGACTCGATCCCGGGACTCCAGGATCATGACCTGAGCCGAAGGCAGTTGTTTAACCAACTGAGCCACCCAGGTGCCCCTGAGGCTTATTGTTGTTCAAACCTACCCTTCCACCCACTGACACCTCTATTTATCCAATAAATATTAAATGTTGCTAATTTACTGCATCCCTCTCAGATCAGAACCCAGCTATGGGCTTGTTTTAAGCACAGATCTTATGCTACTTCTGTGTTGGTCAGTCAAGGCACTTGTGAGTTTTATGAACGTGAATGCCCATTTTCCCCTCTCTTCCTTTTCTCATTAATTACTAGAGTTAAATAAATTATATATAAAGGTTTTATTCACCTTCTTTACCATGCTGGTTTTTGTAGATGGCCATAGGCACCACCTTCCCATCTTTGTAATGTATATATTTTTTCTCATTTGTTTATTTAACCCACATTTAATGAATGGTTATGGATATAATATATACTCTGTGCCAGACATGGACATACCATAATGAAGTACGTTAATTTTTCTTTCCTTAGGGAACAGGAAAGAAACATAAACACTGGAACACATCATAATTCCTTGTGATAAGTGTTTCAATAGTGTTAAGACCAACAATTTGAAGGAAGCACAGAAAGTGGAACATTTGACTGCTTGGCACAGTTAGAGAAGGCATCACTGAGATAGTGACTGTGGACTAGTTGTTGCATTGCATAAAATCTGTATTTTTATATGAAAAAGGTTGGTAATAAGGTTGGTAGTGGAAATAAACCTCATCTGGTTGTTTAGGAGGATCTCGACTTAGATTTGTTTTGTTTCTTTCTGGGTACTCACCTTCACCAGAATGTGAGAGCCCCTGACTTCTATGGATTTATAAAATATTCCTATAACCAGGTTAATCATTTGAATCTTCCTCCAAATAGAACTTGAAAAGTATGAGTTTAATAACAGCACTTTGTATCTGTGTATATGATGAACTCATTCACAGGATAATCAATAGAGTGGGCCCAACAAGATAAGGTAGTTCAGATCACCTTTTTGACTGATCTAACAGTCTTGAGGCTGGACACTAAGGACCTATCTCTAGTGATTTTCATACTCACATTTCAAACAGTGTTTTGCTATTGTGTTTTAGTGGTGTAGGTTTAAATAGATTTCTTCTTACCATTAGCTTTTGTTATTCATGGAAATGAAAACATAACTTTTCTATTGACCTGTCTTCAAAGATAGCACCTTGTCATGTATTTTATCCTAATAGCCAGAATTTGGTTCAGAGTCAAGTAGGCAGTAACTTTACTTGAGGCAGAGCTTAGAAGTTGCCATGATAATATTATCTTTGGAAACCTTCTTTACAGTTTCCCATCCTGTAAAGCGAAGTTCAGTTTGGTGCTCAGAATTCTAAGAACCCTTATTTATTGGCTTATGTGATTCCCATTAGAATAAAAATTCTCCCAGATGTGTTTTTATGTTTATATTGCTATTTATGTTTCTGTTTCCCTTTTAGTCTTCAGCACTGTTAAACTCCATAAAATTGTTTTCTAGTCACTATGTTGTTCTACGTTTCTTTTTTTTTTTTGCTATGTTGTAACATAATATGCAAACCAAGAAAACTCTGAACTGGATCTATGACCAATAAGTGCTTTTTAGTAATGATGGTGATAATGATAATAGTGACAATGATAATATCTTCACAGACAAGAAATCATTTCTCCAGTACCCGGGAAGAGATGGAAGAACTTAAGAAAAGGATGAAAGAAGCTCCCCAGACATGCAAACTTCCAGGACAGCCTACCATCGAAGGCTATCTCTATACACAAGAGAAATGTGTGTGGGAATACAAGGATACCCACTGGGTTTCAGTAGGCTAGCACCTACTGCCACTTGGCTTCTCCAAACTCCTGGCACCCATATTGTTTACAGACCCCTGACAACTACACCTCTTTGGAGAAGAGTCTGGGAACAGTGAAAAAAAGAAAAGGAAGGAGAAATTGGAGGGGGAGGTTAAGGATTTGTCTTCCAAAGACTTTGGGATGATAAGATCTAAGGTTTTTCTCTGTGATTCAAAATGGGGATTGTTAATTATTTAATCCTTCTGATGACTGTGACTGGGGAAAAAAAAGGAGGTAGGGGAAAGGAGGCAGAAAAATAATATTTATTACACCTACTATGTACCGGGCATGGTGCTAAGTGCTTTAAATATACTATCTCATTTAATCTTTAAAAACGCTTATCATACCCATTTTACTTGAGGCCATGGAGGCTTAGAGAGATCACTAGTTGAAAGTTACCCAACTCTATGTTGGCTAATTGAACATAATAAAAAAAAAGGGAAAAAAAAGAAAGTTACCCAACTATCAATTAGCAAGCCTAAGAGTAAACTCAGTTCTCTGAAATGCCAAAACCTATGCTCCTGTCACTACACCCTGTACCTTCCACTGCCTTAGGAGCACATGTTTGCTCTTAAAGCACTGAACAACAACCCTTGTGCTTTCAGTGAGCAAGACAGTTGTTCATTGCTAACCAAGGACCACGGGTTAACTTACCCATTCACTGAATATTGCAGAGTATTTAAGCCTTCCTGCTTCCTAAATTACATTATGAAAATCTGTATGTGCTCTTTGATTTTCCTTATGAACTATGACCCAATGCTCCCAAAGCCTGTGATTTCAGCCCTGCCCAGAATTATTATACCTGAGAAGAAGAGGCAAAAGAGGCTATTCAGATGTTACCAGTTTGAAAAACTACTGCAATTCACAAAGCATGGCATTTAAACAATGATCTTATCATCTTTTCTTCTCTTAGAGAAATTAACTTTTGGTGGTTTTCAAAGATATGTTCTTCCACCTTTCAGGTTTATCTCTTCAATTCTGCATTGCAGAATTTCTCAATCTCAGTGCAACTGATACTTTGGGCTGACGTTTTGGGCTGGGGGATCATGTACATTGTAGGGTATTTAGCAGCATCTATGGCCTGTCCTCACTTTATTCTAAGAGCACTCTATAGGTGTGACAATCTAAAATGTCTCCAGGCATTGCCAAATATCTCTTTGGCAAAATTGCCCTTGGTTGAGAACTACTACTGTATTATAAAAGATGTGGGAATAATGATTTTGTAATCTTGGCTGTAATATCAACTAGCTACATGGTCCTTCTGTGCCCCAGTTTTCTAATTTGTCAAATGGATATGACGTTGCTATTCAGTTGAATGTTTATCGAGCATACTTTTTGCCAGACAATATGCAGTGCATTGGGGATTTAAAAAAAAATGAACCAATCTTGGTTTTGCCTCCAAGAAGTTCATAGTCTGATGAGGAAGGCAGACAACTATATCAAGAATTATAAGGAAATGTGTTGAGTACTGCATTTGGGGCATATATCTAAGCGCTTCACTGAGGAAGCAATGTTTGAATTAGGACTTGAATTATGAGTGGAAGTTTGATAGGCAAAAAATGGGGGGAAGAAAAATTCCAGTTATACACATGTTACTCAGGCACAAAGGTGTGTGAGGATGTAGTTTATTTGCAGGGTCTTAGTTTGCCAAGAATAGCCCTGGTTTACACTTGTCATCCTGATGTAATTATTAATAGTGACCCCATTCACTCTTAAGTATGTATTGAATTTGGACTAAAAATATATGGCGACCTATTTATTTGGTAAGTGAAAGTAATTCAGTGAGACAGGACCATAGAGGGTGGCAAAAGACAAAGTAGGAAAGGTAAATATCATATTAGGAAGGGTCTTGTGGGCCAACCTGAGTTTAGAGACGGTGGGAAAGCCATGCGTGATTTATAAGAAAAATTATATAAAGAGAAATATGTATTTAAAAAATATTCCTTTAACTAAAGAATGGAGAATGGACTAGAAAGGAGTGATCAGAAATGGGGGAAATCAGAGAGAAGGCCACTGTCATAATTAATTAGTGAAATGGTGAGTTTTTATTTTGTTTGAAGTAGATCATAAAACATCTACAAGTAATTCAGCAATAGGGCCCTGAACTAATTCAGTCATAAAAGGGATGGAGAGGAGGAAGCAGCTGAAGGAGAGACATGTGGGGAAAAGAATGAGCAGAACCCAACCACCAATCAAATGGGACAGGTTACAGGGAAGAAGAAGCAGAAGATTACAGATGTTTCCAAGTCATACAATAGGATGAACAGTAGAAGCATTTAGAAGGGACATGGCAAGAAGAGCTATTTGGAGCATGCTAGAGCAAATGTGGAAAGCATTTGATGAGGATTAGGATCCCTATATGTGCTGTGGGTCGATAGCCCACAAGGTTGGAGTTCAGGGGAAGGTTAGAGCTAGATCTGAAGCCCTATGACTATGAAGAGCAGACTATAGCATTTCCATCTTAGGAGTGTATTGACCATATAGCCAAATGGATATAGTCTGTCAGCTCACTTTTGCCTATCATTGTAGGGGCTTTGGGAATATCCTGGGTGAAATATTACTGCCAGTATGAGAAGGAGACCAAAACGCTCACCATGACACCTATGGAGCAGAAGCCAGGTGCTAAACAGGTCAGTTCTTTTGTGTGCCATATTTTTTTTGAAATGCATCTGTGACTGCATCTCAGAAAAGAGTATATCTTGACTTAGTGTCAAAGAATCAAGTCCAACACTGTCATGTGAAGCCATGACTCTGTATGTTCCTGTTGACCTAAGTTTGCATTGGGCCAGATACTACTCAGTTGAGTGAAATATATCTATTAATTATGTCAAGCCTTCTGAAAGTGCTTGTACTTTCTCAGATCATTTATTAAATTATTACAAGTGCTCATCCATTGTACAAGAAAATTTGCAAGTATATGGATGAATTGCAGGAAGATAGTGTTACCTGCTTTTAAGAAGTCTCTACTTCTTAGGATTCTTAGGATTCCTTTAAAGAGTTTAAAATATCATTTTCCAAAATTCCTTTTTTAGAGAAGCATGTCTGTTTCCTAAAGTTGGAATAACCTATACCCCATATTCTGTGTAATGTTCGGATATATTTAAGCAGATAATACTTCTTCTGTCCTCCAAACCTTCCTGATTCCCTAAAATGTCAAGATGAATTGAACATACTAAGAAGATAGTTACTTACCTGGAAGAACCCAATCTTATACATTACTTACTGTACTATACTATATATATGACCACACAGCCAAAAAATGTTATTCTGTCAATCTCACTTTTGCCTATCTTTGTAGAGGCGTTGGAAATTCTGTCTCTCTCTCAAGGGTTTATTAAGATAAAAGCTGATAGATAGACTGTTCATATTCTAAAAGTAGTTTAGTGTGTACCTTAAACTGTCCCTCAGACTGGGTCTTAAGGCATGATTTTGAGGATTTCTATTCTTTACAAATTGTTTACAAAGTCTAGCAGGGTTCATTTGTTAGCACTGAACCTTGGTGGTGTGAGAAGACCCAATTTGTTAGGCAGAAATTTGGAGAAAAATTGGACCAATTTGTCTCCATTGCTGGTGCTTTCCATGGAAGATCTCTCTTGTGTGGCTTGTTCACAGAAAATTAGAGAGGACTGAAATTTGATGTCAGGCTATAGAAAACTGCCTTTTTGTCTTTAACCAAAAATTTTGTCACTCGGCTTTTAACGTGTATTGGAGATGGAAGGCACCTCTAATGAAGTGTACCAAATGGGGTTTCCAGAAGCCTCATCCATGCTTCTCTATGGGCTAGTTGCTCATTCCTGACTCCAAAACTCTTACTGGTTTCCAGTCTGGTAATTGCCAAAGTACCTTTCAATGTGGTTTCAATAAATTTATCTTGTGCTCTATCACAGAATTTTTTCCATTTCTGTCAGAACTTAGCTATGTATTTTACTGGCTAGTGCTTATAAGCACTGTCCTGTAATTTCTTCCTTTTCTTCTCCTACACACATTACTTTCCCAGTCCCAGACTTTAAAGTAAGCTGATTTAGGCCCCCTTTCCCCTGCTCAGGCACCTACTACAAAGCTCAAGACAGAAGCGGACGTACCACTTTCATATCCTCCTATGAGATGAGCACAAGCTCTCCTTTTAGTTTTTCTTTCCTTCTTCCCTTTTCATTGAGTGGCTGCTTGTAAAATTGCAATAGTGTCAGCCTAAGCAGTTTTAATATAGAGTTCCTTATGGAGTGGAAAGAGGAACTTGTTTCTCTATTTAGAAGGAAGGGAAGGTAAAGTAGTAACTTGAATTTCCCTAAAATGAAGCTGGAAATAATTTCTTCTTGTCAGTTCTCTCAGTTCCTATTACTGGTTTGTGTTTTAGAAAGGTAAACAATACAAGTAAGTGAGACTGTAATAACACCATAAAATCCACTATTTATTGAACATCTACTGTGTGCCAGGCACTGAGCTAGACACATTTCGGCATGTGCCTCATTTACTTTCCCAGTAGCCCTGGCAAGTATTAATAGTTCAATTTGAAGGTGGCAGAATTAGCCCTCTTTGTGACTATGGTACTTACCAGTGTTCCCTACTAGTTCAGCCTATCAACTTCCACTTGTGTTGTGCTGCTCATTTTACAGGTTATCTTCCCAAATTATGTTTTATAAGATCCCCATCATTTACCTGTCAGGCAGTTGTGGTAAGAGGAAAGAGTGCTGTATTTTTATAGACTTTCAACAATTGGGTTTAAATCCTAGCTCTTTGGCCTAGTAGCTTTTTGACCCCAAGTAAATTATGTAATGTCACTCAGTATCATTTTCCTCATCAGAAAAATGGCAAGAATGATACTGTAGTTCATGAAAATTTCTTGGGCACTAACTCTTTCCTAGACCCTGGAGATATAAAGATAAATAAGATGCTGCCCATGCCCTTGAGTTCTCAGTCAATTGGGGAAATAAGGCATGAAAACAGGAAGTTTTAATATAATGCACAAAACACATAGTGAACAGTGCATGGGATTGGGGAAGAATATTGGAGGAAATGAAAGCTGAACTGCAGTTTGTAGAACAATTAAGAGTTTAGCCAGACCAAGAATATAGATAAAGTCATTGCAGGTGGAGGAAACATTATTTACAGTTATGGAATCATGAGAGTTATGACATGTGTGAAATGAGAGCACTTCTGCACGGATGAGGCATGAAACAGATGGGGGTGGCTAGAGGTAACCTGGAGTAATAGACAGGGCCTAGGCCCCTGAGCTATGATGCCTTTGACTCTGAGGGAGCTGAGAGTTTAAAGAGGGAGGGTGAGTGTATAATGCTGTTAAGTTACTGTCATCTTGAAAGTCTAGTAATTCTTGATACCTTTAGTATTGGGGTAAAGAAGGCAGATTGAAGAATGAAATTAGAGTTGAGTTTTTATAGTGTAGGAACAGTAAAAGGATAGGCCCGAAAGGGGGTTGAGTGTGCCAATAAGAAAGAAGTATTGTATGCAACTAATGAATTGTTGAACACTACATCAAAAACTAATGATGTATTATATATTGGCTAATTGAACATAATAATAAAATAAAATAAAATAAGAAGTATTGTTTGATCAGTTGGATCAACTGTATGGACCAGTTTGGATGGCATAGTACCTAGACCCAGACCTGGCACTTGGGAAGTGTTTCTGAATTTCTGGCAGCTAGGTGGTTAGCATTTTCCCCATTTAATAGATTGTGAAGTTAAGATTCAAAGGGGAAAACAATTTGCCCTGGATTGTAAGCTAGTAAATGGCATAACTGAGACAAAACCCCAGGTTTTAAACTTCCTAGTTTATTACTATATCTACTATACTGACTTGGTTGACTTTGGGTAAGCCATTTTACCTCTCTGAGCTTCACTTCTTTCTAAGGGTTGTTATGAAGAAAGTTGATTTAAAGATACCTAGCATAATGTGTGGCAAATAGTAGGTAATTGATAAATCTTACTTCTCTTTCCTATACCACATTGTCTCTGTTGAGATAATAGAGGGAAACTGAACAATGTGGGATTGGGAAATTTTAATCTGTGGACACAGTGGACTTCAATGGCCTTATTAAGTGCCCATAAGACTAAGGTGGGCTACACTGTTCTGCATATATGAAATATCAAATGGAACTTTGAGTAATATATAAATTTGCTCATTTTCTCTACTCCTGCCCAGTCTTTGGAGAGATTGCTTTTGTGATTCCTGTCTTCCTGAAGAGTCTGGAGGTGGGGAATGAAAATGTTTCTCTCCCCTCCTCCATCTGCCAATTTAATAGAAGGAGGGTCGCATAAAGCCACTCCCAACCTGGAAGTTTCATGAAAATTTTATTCAATACACTTAATGCCGTTTGGTCAACCCATTTGTCCTACATTCCCCTGATATTATGTATAATTAGCTTCCTATTTAATCTACCATGCTTGGAAAACAGTACTGACCTATCCCGAGCATTTTGTCCTGGTCTCAACCATTAATTATTGGAGCAAGAAGAAACCATCTGCTGCAGATACTGTTTGAAGGGACAAGGTTCTCAGTGAGGCTAAACATTACTCCTGCTGCCCTGACAGATGCCTTCCAAGTGGCTGAGGCTACTGCAGGAGGCAGAAGAAGCTTCTGTGCATTTTCTTTTCAAATTGGCTATTAATCCTTCTCTTATATCAGGGGCCTTTGGACTTAACCCTGAAGTACTGCGTGAGGAGGAAGACAGAGTCTATCGACAAAAGGTTCTGTTTTGATATAGAAACTAATGAAAGGTAAGCTGTGCTGGTATGAACTGGTAACGTCCTCATGTGCCAGGTGCTGAGCCTGAGTAGATCTTTTATTTTCCTCTGTCCTCTCTCGTGCTGAAAATGAGCAAATCTGTTCATGACATTACTGTTTTGGCTCTCTGGCTGCTATTCACAGGAACCCCTGTTAGACCTGGCCCAGAGCTGGTTTTCCCTGTGGGAACTTCAGCCAGCTTTGCCTCACCTGCTCTAGGCAGAATAAGTCATTCCTAGGATTTAATTTGCTATGAGATATGCTGCAACAGTCAACATTTGGTGACGCTGCAGAGACAGCATGACAAAACTCATTCTTTTTTTTTTTTTGTAGTATCAAGTTTTTATTTAAATTCCAGTTAGTTAACATATAGTATGATATTAGTTTCAGGAGTCGAATTTAGTGATTCATCACTTACATACATCCAGTGCTCATCATCACAAGTGTCCTCCTTAATGCCCATCACCCATTTAACCCACCCTCCACCTCCCCCCAGCAACCCCAGTTTGTTCTCTAGTTAAGAGTCTGTTTCCTAGTTTGCCTCTCTTTTTTTTCCCTATGTTCAACTGTTTTGCTTCTTAAATTCCACATGAGTGAAATCATATGGCATTTGTCTTTCTCTGACTGACTTATTTCACTTAGCATAATGTGTTCTAGCTCAATTCATGTTGTTGCAAATGGCAAGATTTCATTCTTTTTCATGGCCAGGTAATATTCCTGTGTGTGTGTGTGTGTGTGTGTGTGTGTGTGTGTGTGTGAGTGTACACCATATCTTCTTTATCCATTCATCAGTCGATGGACACTTGGGCTCTTTCCATAATTTGGCTATTGTTGATAATGCTGCTATAAACATGAAGGGTGCATGTATTCCTTCAAATCAGTATTTTTGTATCCTTTGGGTAAATACCCAAGAATGTAATTGCTGGATCATAGAGTAGCTCTATTTTTAACTTTTTGAGGAAACTTCATACTGTTTTCCAGAGTGGCTGCATCAATTTGCATTCCCACCAGCAATATAAGAGGGTTCCCCTTTCTCAGTATCTTTGCCAATGCATGTTGTTTCCTGTGTTGTTAATTTTAGCCATTCTGACAGGTGTGAGGTGGTTTCTCATTGTGGGTTTGATTTGCATTTCCCCGATGATAGTGATGTTGAGCATCTTTTCATGTGTCTGTTGGCCATCTGGATATATGTCTTCGATGGAAAAATGTCTATTCATGTCTTCTGCCCGTTTCTTAACTGGATTATTTGGTTTTTGGGTGTTGAGTTTGATGAGTTCTTTATGGATTTTGGATACTAGCCCTTTATCCGTAATGTCATTTGCAAGTATCTTCTCCCATTCAGCAAAACTCATTCTTTTATCTCCTAATATAACATACAAGAATGAGTTAATTAAAACACATTTTTAAGGGGAGATAGAAGGGATGGAAGATGGTAGTGGTAGTGGGGAGTCTTTTTTCCCCACTTGGTGCAAACATGATACAGACTTCCCCTACTTTGCAGGTATACTGGAAATAGTTTGATTATCAACTTTCTGATTTCAGCTAAGGCTTTCAAACTTTGTACTTTGTTGCATTTGTTTCTCTCCAGTACCCTCTTTTTGTTTTCTGGAACTGGGCAGTTTTATCAGAGGTGAATTTAACCTTGAAATTTTAAAATGAGAGCATTTGGAGTTCCTTTGGAGAAAAGCATATTATGTAGTTGAGAGGTTGATCCAAAATTCAGTGAATAAATGTTCCTGTACGTTATTTCGGTCTATTATTTCTATGTGTTAGGTACCACATAATAGAATAGAATTTAACAAAACAGATTTCCTAGAAAGGGACTTAAAGGTTGAATTAGAATATCATATGAACTAAACTATCAAGGACTGGAATCATAAAGATTATACTAAGAGATGAGGGCTTTTATTTATTTATTTATTTTAGTCTGGAAATAAGTAAAAAGTCCTTTTCCCCATTTGAAAATCTGTTTGTTAATCCATATGATTTCTTTGTTAGAAATGGATGGTCCTGACCGAAGATGGTTGTGATAGTAAACATTGTTACTGGTAACCATGCAGCTGTCCCTCATTTCTCCAACAGCTTCAGGCCTAGTTGGAAGGGGGAACTATAGTCCTATTTACTGCAAAAAATAACTATTGGCTGTGGCTTCTCTTTCATGAACCTTTATTGTCTCTCGCTCTGTAGCATCAAGGTGCTTAAAAGAAATTAAAATTATCTGTGTCTAGTTTCATTCTGATTCCCTTTTCAGCTTAAATTTGCAAGCTATTTGCAAATAATATCCCTATAGACTTAAAGCAGTTGCAGACAATTTGGCCCTGAGATAATGTGCTGGGACCAGTTTATCATCATATATCTTGCACCTAGTGCTATGTGTAGCTCATGATAGGTACTAAATTTGGTGTTTATTTTTAAATGTATTTTCCCACCCCATAACACTGAGGAATTCTGAGACTAGAACCCAGGAATTAAAGTTTTGGTGTGTCTGTGATTTTCGTTACCACATATTAGGCTCTTAAAAAACATTCACTCACCTAATCCCCCTCCCCCATTTTACTGGTGCGGAGACTGAGACTTGAATATGTTAAGTTACTTGCCCAAAGTCACACGGTAGCAAGGCTGAGCGCAAACGCTCGTTTGTAGGTCTCCAAAGTCCATGTTCGTTTTTTTTTTTAATTTTGCTCCATTGTCTTATAAGGAGAATAAACATGCTGTGAAATAAAGGGTCAAATATAATAATGAACAGGTGCTGAGGTACCTCTGTGTGCATGAAGTTTTGTGAAGAGTGTGGCATCTGCTTTCCTGGATAGTAAATCTGATATAAGAAACAAAGTCAGCATTCCCAGCAAGCATCAGTCACCTATACTCATGTCCCTGCAGCACAGAGAGCTAAGGACTCTTTGAGTTCCTTTTACTATCTCAGGAATAGAGGGTAACTATTTTTTTTAATTAGTTTTGCTGCCATGGTGCCTGGGTGGCTCAGTTGGTTAAGCCTCTGCCTTCGGCTCGGGTCATGATCCTGGGGTCCTGGGATCAAGCCCCACGTTGGGCTCCTTGCTAAGCAGGAAACCTGCTTCTCCTTCTCTCTCTGCCTGCCGCTCCACCTGCTTGTGCTCTCTGTCTCTTTATTAAATAAAATCTTTAAAAAAATAAATAGATTTGCTGCCAATATTTGAAACCACAGGCTTATAGCTCATAGAACTTGAAGTGCAATAATAATAATAATAATAATAATAATAACCTAACAACAACTGCTAACGTTGGCCTATGTACCAGGCACTATTCTCAGCCCTTGAAGAGTATAATTTCGTTTAATCTTCACTAAGTTCCATGAGGTATGGGATGTTATCCCAATTTCACAAAGGAGGACAAGGAGACAGGGAGAAATTAAGCAACTTAGGTAACACAGCAAATGATAGAGCCAGGATCCAAATCCAGGAATTCTAGTCTTCAAACCCACACTCTTGACCATTGCTCTGTACTGCACATATGCTGTATATGTCTTTTTGTTCTGGATGAGTGACTGGGACCTCAGGAAGGGCAGGGGATTTGCCTAAGGTCATAAAGATAGTCAGTGGAAAATCCTGGACTAGAAGTCAATGTTCTTTCTACTTTGTCATCCTGTTCTTATAAATATTATTCTGTGAATTTGACTTTCTGTGGCACCCAAGAATCTTCAAATGCTTCTTGAATAGTCACTTATTCATTCTTTCAGCCTCTCTGTAAGGTTAAGAGAAGACACGCACTGGAGTTTTAATTTCCTAGATAGGGAAGCTGAGTTCCAGAATGTGTTTAATGTCATATCTGGTCTGTACTGTCTGCTTTTATATCTGTTGCCCATTTCCTTGTTCTTCCTCTGGCTTCAGGATTCAGCTGGGTAGCTGTCTTTACAAAGATTTCTAGACTTGCTAGCCCCATGTGATATATCCAAAAAGTTGGTTATTTGTTAGAGAAGAGTAAACTTGAAAGAATCCAGTGCCCAAAGCCAAGTTCTGGTTTTCAGTTGATTTTGTCTTAAAGATCATTTGGGGGTTTTCCTTTTTAAGATGTACTTTAATGGAGTAAAAGATGGAACGTCAAATAGGAATCCCATGGTATCAAAACTGGAAGGGACCTCCCAGCTGATCTGGTCCAACACCGTTATGGATAAAGAAACTGAGGCCCATAGAGACCCAGTTGCTTTTCCAGGCTCTCTGAACTCTCTTGTCATTGTTCTTACTATTCCATGACTCTGAGAGAGGTCTTAACAGAAGGAGTTAAGAGGAACCAGTTTCTCATAATGGTGCAGATATACAGATAATGCAAGGAGACTTTATATCTGCAATAATATGGTCAATCTGGAATTCTCAGTTTGGTTGTGAAAGTCTAAAAAGACCATACAGAGTATACCAACTTGGAGTATCTCTGGCTATAGGTAGCCTACAAGTAAATAGAAAAAAAAATGGGTTTGAGGCCATCTCTGATGGAGAAAAGGCCTGTAGCATGGTGGTTAAGAAAGAACATGGCTGTTGGACCAGAATTCCTAAATTTAAATCCTGGCTCTATACTTACCCACTGTGTGAACTTAGGGAACAACTCGGTGCCTCAGTTTCCCCTTTTGTAAACTAGGGATTCCTGTATGGTACCTGCTTTATAGCTTCCTGGGTAGATGACATGAATTTATACCTCTAAAATACTTAGAACAGAACCTGGTTCCTAATGAACATTCAGTAACTGTTATTACTTAGTCATAAGATTGCTTAAGTCAGCCAAAAGGCCTCCTCCCTGTGCTGAGCTAGCGTGCATGTTGTTGAATTCTTTCCAGCTGGAAATACTCTTTGGACATCATAGATGGGGGAAGTAGGAAAGCCATTTTTTTTTTTTATTGATGGATGAATGTGCCCATGCTGAACATGCTTACTCCTAGAGCCCAGACCAAACTGCTGGCTTCTAAGAAAGGCAAAGAGAGCCACGGTTTGTCTCAAGTACAATGGAGCCAATTTAAGTGTGTATTCTGATGAGGTGTCTTGGGATCTACCTTCCTATTTCCTTGCCTGACCCTGGCATGAGGCTGCCAAGATACCATCTCCCCTAGGGTTCCCAACGTTACTGCTCTCTAAATGTTTCATTGTTTTTTTTTTTTTTTTTTGAGTAAGAGAGATTTTGAAAAATTGGAATTCTGTATGTGCCTGCTCAGTGTGACACCTCCCAGGGCTGAGAGGGACCCTAGATCACAAGACTTCATTTTCTCGGGTGAGTTTTCTACTTTTAACTTGTCATCTTTTTCCCCTTAGGCCAGGAACCATCACTTTGCAGGCCCTTTCAGAAGCTAACAGAAGGCTATGGATGGAGGCCATGGATGGAAAAGAACCTGTAAGTTACCTCAGGATACTAGAGAAACCTCAGCACCATAATCCAGTGTGTGAGTGCCCTTAGTGGTACCAGTGGGTCTAGGACAATTAAATAGTCAGATCATCAGACTCAAAATTTTAGAGCTAGAAGGAATTGTTGACTTGATATTTCTTGCTTAAAAAGTAAGGCAATTTTGAGTTCCAGAGGGTGAGGGACTTCTCTGGAATTACTCTCAGAAAAGGCATAACAGCTGGGCCTAGAATCCAGGTTTCTCAGCTTCTTGCTGCAGTGCTAGATGATGCAGCTGTGCCCACAAGATCTTCTTAAGAAAGAAAATTAAGCCTTTTTTCAGTTTATAAAACATGTGTTCATATAGAAAGATGGAAAATAATTGTCATAACTGAATAAGCATTTGTTAAGATTTTATTCACATTGGTTTTGCTGCTCCCATCTTACATTCCTAAGTCAGCTTATTCTCTTTAAGGGTACAGCTATTGGGGAAGATGGTACTGCCATACTATATCCCAAGATGTACTGGTCCGTTTAGAACATTGTTACATAAGAGGATAAACAGTACCTTAAAAGTTTTAGTGACTGTCATAGAAAGACCAATATGAAGAGTCAGAAACGAGGAAAAAGCACTTTTTCTCTTCAGTATCTTCCATGTAGGTTTCTTCTAGTGGCATATGAACTAATATCACCTAACTAGTGTTGGAATTCCAAAAGCCTGAATTTGGATCTTTTGTTGTGCCATTCAGTGGTTGTGTGACTTTGAGCAAGTTATTCCATCTCTCTGAGATTCAGTTTTCTTCTCTTCAGTAAAATGGGTTTAATAATCTCTGTTCTACTTACCTCACAGAGTTGCTTTGTAAAATCAAATGAATGGAAGTCTGTCAACCATAATGTGCTATATTAGTTTTAGGTGCTTCTAACTGGGCTGAAGAAAGAGTGCAAAGCTACTGAGATTCAATAATATTTGGATATAGTCTAATCTTGTTTTATTCAAGGCAAGAATGTGCCAAGAGGGGGAAATATACTCCAGGGTTTTCTTTCTGTGTCTCCTCAGTGCCCTGGAGACTAAAGAGGAGTACCCAGATCTCAGATTGCATTTATAGCACCCAAGAAGTTTAACTATTGCATGCCTTTGATGTTTCTCTAGGAAGATGGTGGGAGGCTGAGCAGAGCATTTTATTCTTGATTCCCTCTTCTGAACTTGTTCTCTCTTTAGATTTTAATGGTCAAAGGATGCAGATGGCTTTTTGTGGAGAATGACGTTAGAATACAGGTCCACTGAATGTGGATCCTTAACAACTTGATTATGATAGACTTTCCACAAATATCTTGTTTATTTTTTTAAGATTTTATTTATTTATTTGACAGAGACACAGAGAGAGAGGGAACATAAGCAGGGGGAGCGGGAGCGGGAGAAGCAGGCTTCCCGCTGAGCAGGGAGCCCAGTGCGGGGCTTGATCCCAGGATCCTGGGATCATGACCTGAGCCAAAAGCAAATGCTTAACGACTGAGCCACACAGACGCCCCCACAAATATCTTGTTTATAAAAGTGGCAGCAAGGGCTGGTCAGCATAGAAATCTCCTTCATTGAAATATCCATGGGCATACACACAGATGCAGAGAATTTTCTTTTAAAAGGAGAGATTGTTAAAGCAGACTAATAGATGCCATATAGAAGGCTTATTTCCTGCAGTTTCACATTATTATTTTTGCTGCTTTACTAAACACCTCAGTTCACTAATCTTATACATAGTGTACATGCCTTTGTTTAAAGTGTCAGAGAAGATCAGGACTTGAAGGGACATCTACTCCAATCCTGATCATTTTAGAGATCTTAATTTTGAAGTGTAGAGAATGAAAAGGACACACACGCCCGAGATTTCCTAATGAGGTAGAGGTGGAGCCTGGACTAGACTTCGTCAAGGATCTCCTCTTTGGTTTCTCACACAGCTGTCACAGTGTGTACTTCAATATGACTCAGGCAAATCTTGATCAATGCATGGATCTCTTTCAGTTGGACACTTGCTTTTCTACAGAGAAACACCCATTAGTTAGCCTTTGGGGTAGGAGGTTGGTATTGGGAACATTTACATTTTACCATCAATGCCCGTTAGCCATATATCCATTAGAAAACTATTTCTTTTCTCTCATGCTCTCTTGCTCCATCAGAAAAATTCTGCAAGCTTTACATAAGTAAATCTCTAAGATGGGTAGGCTGCAGTGAGCTACTTGGAATCTGCCGTAGTCTTCAGAGATTGTTAATCCACGTGTTTTCTAGGGACCTAGGCAAAGATCATTCTGTTTAGTCCACTTTTTCATCTTATTAAAGCTTTAGAGTCGCTAATGGTTTTGATGGACTATCTGGGGAAAGAGATTTAGTATTATTCGCCATACTTACCTATAGTGATTCCCAATAGCCATGGCTTTTTCTTTCTCTTCTTTTGTAGATCTACCACAGCCCCATAACAAAACAGGAAGAAAGTGAGTCAAATTTATGATCTATTGACATTACAAACTGCTAGCTGTCCTAATCACAGTTAATACTATCATCAATAATATGTAATATTGATGCAAGTGTGTTTATTGATTCCTCTGTGTAGAATAAAATTCAGACCTATTTTTTTAATATGTCTACTTATTGAAATAAGGAAGTCACTTTATCTTAGCTTATGGTGTGGGTAGTAATAGTAATATAGGGAATAGCATTATATCTTTCTTGTTCTAAACACGATAGAAATTATGTGCATTTCCACCCTAACATTTCATGTTTGATGTTGCTCATGTCTAAAACAAACATAATACAGTGGAATCACTAAAAGCATTTTGTGTTATAAGAGTAAAAGCTCTATTCTTCCCCTGAGGGGGGGGGGGAAGATCTTTCCATTTAAGGGTATTGGAGATGAAAAACCATACCCCTTATTCTCTCATTGCAGTCTCTTAGCATGATCAATAAATGTTTGGTAGGTAAAGCTTGTTATAGCAGGATCTAACTGTTTTCCTTTGTTTGAAACAGTGGAGCTGAATGAAGTGGGGTTCAAGTTTGTTAGGAAGTGCATCAATGTCATTGAGACTAAAGGTAAGACATGAACCAGAGTGTTGGCAGTGTTTGAATTCGGTCACTCTGAATTTATTCTGGGGCAATTTCTCTAAAGTCGCAATGATGTCATTTGTTGGTCAGGACTCATTTTAGCAATGAAGACTATTTATGAACCTTGAACACGAGACACAAATTTCTAAAATTCCAGCAAATTCCAAGCCAGTGGTATCCAAGCATATTGGGATAATTTGGGGTTCCCTGCTTTTAAAGAGAAAGAGCTTAATTAATCAAATGGTACAAAATTCTAAGTTATGCAAGATAATTATGTCCTAGAGATCTGCTGTACAGCACAAAGCTGTAGTTAACAATACTGTATTGCAGACTTAAAAATGTTCTAAGATGGTAAATCTTGTGTTAAGAGTTCTTTTTTTTTTAAAGATTTCATTTATTTATTCATGAGAGACAGAGAGAGAGAGAGAGAGAGAGAGAGAGAGAGAGAAGCAGAGGGAGAAGCATGCTCCCAAGGAGCAGGGAGCCTGATGTGGGACTCGATCCCAGGACCCTGGGATCATGACCTGAGCTGAAGGCAGATGCTTAACCATCTGAGCCACCCAGGTGCCCGTGTTAAGAGTTCTTATCACAAAAAAATAATAATGAATAAAGAGGGCCACAGAAAAGTTTTAGAGGTGATGGATGTGTTTCTGCATAGATTGGGGCGATGGTTTCCTTTATCTCCAAGCTCACCAAGTTGTATATATTAAATATGTACAGCCTCTTGTATTTCAAAAAAAAATAAAGAGAAAGAGCTTCAAACAGCTTATAAAGTATTCTAAAATACTACTGGGCACTCCTCAAATAGTGTTATGACAGTTCCATTGCAAATAAATAAAGAGTTCAATTTCTGCCACAATACATATCAGTTTAAAAATTGATGGGGTGCAAAGCTGAACTCAGACAAATATGGAATCAGTGTTTTCCCAGGTTGATTATACTCTCTGGTTTCTCTCTGAGAATATTTAGAATGTGGGCAGATAGTATATGAGCCAAGCCTCTTTATTCTTTGAAATGTTGCTAGAATTTCTCTATATGCAAAATGGACATTTGTTTCACATATGCCATATTCCATCCCTTTCTCCCTTTATATCACTGCTCACAAGCAACTCGGAGGTTGATATTTCCTCCTTTTTCAATTAAACCATAGCTCCCTTTTTCAATTAAACCCTATTCTCAGCCACCTGCTGCTACCCACCTAAGCATATTTTTCTATTTACTATAGAGTATATTCTCTTCTGTTCACATTAATGAAATCTTGGTATAATCCAAATGAAAGTATGGAGAGAATAATTTGGAGAGAGGCTTCAAAACTGTTCCCCTATTGCAGGGGAAGGCTGGAGAGCTTGCAGAGGGTAGGGAGACACTTTCCTGTTTGAACTGACACCAGGGTGTAAGTACCTACTTTCTCTACCCTGAGGAAAATGAAAGCTCTAGCTATGGAAACAAAACTGACCTCAATTTCTTTCCCTAGGGATCAAGACAGAGGGATTATACCGTACTGTGGGCAGCAACATTCAGGTTCAGAAGCTGCTGAATGCCTTTTTTGGTAACAATTTTAATTTCATAATTCTTATTGGAAATTGTGTATTAAAAATAAGTGTGTCCATAAGAGAAAGGAGACATTGCTAAAAAAGGTTGTAGAATGTTTAAGACATATTTTCAAAGGAAAAATGTACGCATATTTGCCTACCCAGGCTCAGAGACAATCTTGCCTTGAAACAACTAGCATCTCTCCTTCTCCACATCATATTGACACCTCAGAACCTTTGCAGTCTGGCTTCTTCCTCAGCCTCTCCACTGGAACTACTTTTGCCAGGCTTAGAAGGTATCTTCTGTGAAATCCAGTGGACAATTTTCAGACTCTGTCTTGCTTGATCTCCTTGTTGACTATTCCCTCCTTTTTGAAACTTTCTCCCTAATGTGACTTCTGTGACTCAACATCCTGTGACTTTTCTAAAATCTTGTATTAAACCTTTCAAGTGACTCTTGTCAGGTCCTTTTTCTTCTTCTCATCTTCTAAATCTTGGCTGGGTATTTTCCAGCATTCCATCTTTGCCACCCTTTGCTTCTTCCTCTACATGTATTCCTAATGAATAAATATTAACTTGGTTATGCATGACATTTTTTCCCCTTTTTACATGTCTACTGATTTTTAAAGTTTTTGTTTAAATTCCAGTTAGTTAACGTACAGTGTGATAGTAGTTTCACATGTATAATATAGTGATTCAGCACTTCCATATAACACCAATTGCTTATCACAAATATGATCCTTAATCCCCATCACCTGTTTAACCTATCCCCTTACCCACCTCCCCTCTGATAACCATCACTTTGTTCACTATAGTTGAATCTATTCTTGGTTTGCCTTTCTCTTTTTTTCCCCTATGCTCACTTGTTTGGTTTCTTAAATTACACAAATGAGTGAAATCATACGGTATTTGTCTTTCTCTAATTGACTTATTTGGCTTAGCATAATGCTCCCTAGCTCCATCCATGCTGTTACAAATGGCAAGATTTCATTCCTTTTGATGGCTGAGTAATATTCCATTGTGTATATATACCACATCTTCTTTATCCATTCAGCAGTCAAATGGACATTTGGGCTCTTTCCATATTTTGGCTTATATTCATAGTACTGCTATAAACATTGGGGTGCATTTATACTTTGATTTAGTATTTTTTGGGCAGATACCCAGTAGCGCAATTGCTAGATCATAGGGTAGTTCTATTTTAAACTTTTTGAGGAACCTCCGCATGGTTTTCCAGAGTGGTTGCACCACTTTGCATTCCCACCAACACTGCAAGAGGGTTCCCCTGTATCTACATCCTTGTCAATACCTGTTGTTTCTTGTGTTGTTAATTTTAGCCATTCCGACTAGTGTGAAGTGATTATCTCATTGTAGTTTTGATTTGTATTGCCCTGATGATGAGTGATGTTGAGCATCTTTTCATGTGTCTGTTGGCCATCTATTTGTCTTCTTTGGAAAAATTTCTATTCATGTCTTCTGCCCATTTTTTTAACAATTATTTGTTTTTTGGGTGTTCAGTTTTATAAGATCTTTATAGATTTTGGATACTAACCCTTTATCAGATATGTCATTTGCAAATACCTCTTCCCATTCCATAGGCTGCCTGTTAGTTTCATTGATCATTTATTTTGCTGTGCAGAAGCTTTTTATTTTGGTGAAGTCCCAATAGTTTATTTTTGCTTTTATTTCCCTTGCCTCAGGAAACATATCTATTGAGAAGTTGCCACGGCTGATATAAAAGAGGTTACTGCCTGTGTTCTTCTCTAGGAGTTTGATGGTTTCCTGTCTCACATTTAGGCCTTTACTCCATTTTTATTTTTGTGAATGGTGTAAGAAAGCATTCCAGGTTCATTCTTTTTCATGTAGATTACCAGTTTTTGCAATACCATTTGTTGAAGACACTGTCTTTTTTCCATTGATTTTCTTTCCTGCTTTATTGAAGATTAACTAACCATACAGTTGTGGGTACATTTCTAAGTTTTCTATTCTGTTCCATTGATCTATGTGTCCATTTTTGTACCAGTACCATACTGTCTTGATCCCTACAGTTTTGTAATATAACTTGAAGTCCAAAATTGTGATGACTTCAGCTTTGCTTTGTTTTTTTCAAGATTGCTTTTTCTATTCAGGGTCTTTTGTGGTCCCATACAAATTTTAAGATTCTTAGTTCTAGCTGTGTGAAAAATGATGTTGGTAATTTGATAGGGGCTGCTTTGGGTACTATAGACATTTTCATAATATTTATTCTTCAATTCCATGAGCATGGGTCTTTTTCCATTTCTTTGTGTCATCTTCAGTTTCTTTCATCAGTGTTTTATAGTTTTCAGAGTACACATCATATACTTCTTCAGTTAGGTCTATTCCTAGGTATGTTATGCTTTTTGGTGCAATTGCAAATGGGATCAATTCCTTGATTTCTCTTCCTGCTGCTTCATTATTGGTGTATAGAAATATAACAGATTTCTGTACATTGTTTTTGTATCCTGCGACTTTACTGAATTCATTTATCATTTCTAGCAAGTTTTTGGTATAGTCTTTCAGGATTTCTAAATATAGTATCATGTCATTGGCAGATAGTGAACATTTGACTTCTTCCTTGCCAATTTGGATGCCTTTTATTTTTTTCTTGTTGTCTGATTGCTGTGGCTAAGACTTCTAGTACTATGTTATCAGTGGTGAGAGTGGGCATTCCTGTGTTGTTCCTCACTGTAGAAGAAAAGCTATCAGGTTTCCCCATTGAGGATGATAATAGCTTTGGGTTTTTCATATATGGCCTTTATTTTGCTTAGGTATTCCCTTTAATCCTACCTTTTTGAGGATTGTTATCATGAATGGATGTTGTACTTTGTCAAATACATTTTCTGCATCTATTGAAAGGATCATATGGTTCTTATCCTTTCTTTTATTAATGTGGTCTATCATGTTGATTGACTTGCAAATATTGAAGCACTCACAGCCCAGGAATAAATCCCACTTGATCATGCCAAATGGTTCTTTTCATGTACTGTTAAGGATTCAATTTGCTAGTATCTTGTTGAGAATTTTTACATCCATGTTCATCAAGGATATTTGCCTGTAGTTCTCTTTTTCAGTGGAGTCTTTATCTGCTTTTGGTATCAGGAAAATGCTGGCCTCAAGAATAAATTTGGAAGTTTTCCTTCCTTTTCTAGTTTTTAGAATAGTTTGAGAAGAATAAGTATTAACTCTTCTTTAAATGTTTGGTGGAATTCCCTTGTGAAGCCATCTGGCCCTGGACTTCTGTTTGTTGGGAGATTTTTGATTACTGACTCAATTTTTTAGTGGTTTTCAGTCTGTTCAAGTTTTCTATTTCTTCCTGTTTCAGTTCTGGTAATTTATATGTTTCTGGAAATTTATCCATTTCTTCAAGGTTGTCCACTTTGTTGGCATATATTTTTTTCATAATATTCTCTTATAATTGTCTTTCTGTGGTATTGGTTGTTATTTTTTCTTTCTCACTTTTGATTTTATTTATTTCGGTGATTTCTCTTTTCTTTTTAATAAGCCTGGTTAGGAGTTTATCATTTTTCTTTATTTTTTCAAAGAAACAGCTCCTGATTTCATTGTTCTGTTCTATTGGTTTCTTTTGCCTCTATATCATTTCTTCTGCTTAATCTTTTTATTTCTCTTCTTCTCTTCTTTATTTCTTTATTCTGCTGGTTTTAGGCTTCATTTATTGCTCTTTTTCTAGCTCCTTTAGGTGTAAGGTTAGGTTGTATATTTGAGATTTTTCTTGCTTCTTGAAGTAGGCCTAATGTATTGGTATATACTTCCCTCTTAAGAGTATGTCTAGCAATTTTGATTAGATTCTGAAAATCGTGGGTATTGCATGTCTTGATTTTGCTGACTTCTATTAAAGAGTATTGAAATTAGTTTTTCAGGTAGTTATTTGTAGATCAACTTCGTCCGTTTCAGGCTTCCTTTTAAGCTTGTTAGGACAAATATAAGGTATCTTTTACTGGCCAGGTTAGTCCTACTACTAAAGTCTGCCTTCTTTTTTCTCTTCATTCTTATTGGTTGGAACTTAAACATCTCCCAGCTCTGCATCACTTCTTGGAATTGTTCAGCTTAAAATTCCCTGATACTTCATTGGCTAACCTCATAGACTTTTTTTTTAAAGATTATTTATTTATTTTTAATTTATTTTAGAGAGAGAGAGAGCACAGGCTGGGGGAGCCACAGAGGGGGAGGCAGAGGGAGAGGGAAAGAAACTCAAACAGACTCCGTACTGAGTGGAGAGCCCAATGTGGGGCTCGATCCCACGACCCTGAGATCGTGACCTGAGCCAAAATGAAGAGTCAGATGCTCATCTGACTGAGCCACCCCGGTGCCCCTAGCTCATATATTTTTATCTTGGCCATTCATGGCTTAGTATTCAATGGACAAACTCAAGGAGACCCATAGAAATTTTTTTTTTAGTTCTTTCTCTATACAGCTCTCTCTTTTCTGGTACACTGACCTGCAAATTCTAGCTGTCTCAGCCTCTCTGAACTCCAGTCTTTGTCTCTTCCACCTGAGGAAGACTTCCATGCTCAGCAAGACTTCCAAGCTCCCTATGCTACCATTCAGAATGTGCTGCTTTCAGGTAGCAAGTGGTGACAATGGTAGGACTTAGTTTGTTTCCCTTTTTTTCAGAGTCATTGCCAAAGAGCTCTTTCTTATATTTTGCCCAATTTTCTAATTGTTACAACAGGAGAGCAAGTCTAGTACCAGTTACTCCAACGTGGCCTGGAGTAGAAGTCCCTCTGTGGGGTTTTACTAGCACCTCTGTGCGGACAGCACCCAAAAATCTCTAGCCTAGACATCATCTCCTGAGTTCTAAATGCAGTGTATCTAGTTTCTCACTGGACCTGTGCTTCCCAAATCTATTTAGGTCATGGTACATTGTAATGATCATATCTGTATAGCATACTCTGTTATATGAAAAAAACTGATCATGGCAGAGGTATTAAGCTCCAAGGGCCAAAGGAATCAGAATTGGAATTGTCGCAGACTCTCT